CTTTTGCAGTTTCTACATAGAAAAAAATGTATGGCTTTCAGATTGGTCAGTGATCAATTATTTTTTTGTTTTAAGTTTTTTGCTAATTTATTGTCTGTCAGGTCAAAATGGTCCAATCATTTCTAGGCAAACAACACGATTTGACGTATCAGTCATATGCCATGTTTTGTCGTGTTTCGAGTTTATTATAATATTAGAGAATTTAATCAGTTCCCCGAGCCTAAGTATGAACAATAATAAGCGATTCTATCCTTAGCAAAACAATATCTACTAATAACAATATGTAATTATTTACAGAACCACAAAGTGCTTATTTATGTAATTGCACAGTATGAACACTAATGTAAAGTGTGAAATAAAGAAAAGTTTCGTTTTAATGTTTTACACATGCAGCTGGAAAAATGCATAATCATGCATCAACTACCATCAAACGAGCATGTTTTTTATAATGAATCACAGAGCATTTCTAGTATATCTGGAAACTCATGTTAAACTAGCTCCTTAAGATCTAGAGCTGATTGATGCAGGAAGATTTCCATCTATGCGGCTAAACACTGATCTCCTCTCAATCAGCATTAACATTAACATTAAGCATCAAATATGGTTTTATGGATTGGTTGTGATTACGTCATGTCACACAGCAGTTTCACATTCGGGGTGGACAGACAAATTACTTCTTGCTGAAAATTTGTCTCATCAAACTGGGCTGCCCTTGAAGTTCACCAAAATTGACAGTCACATTATTGACAGTGCCAAACCAGGGCAGAGTTTCCCTCTGGACTGGAATGTGTTCTGTCACGTACCATTACATTTGAAGCTGAAGAAATTAAACAGTTCCTCTGGCATACATACATCTGAACACTGACTAATCAGAATGTTAGTGTTAGCCAAGAATTTAATGTTTGATTTAGACCAGTTGTTCTCAACCAGTGGCCCGGGACCCACTAGGGGTCTCAGCACAAAGGGGGCCACAAAATGGCTTTAAAGGGGACCTATTATGCCCCTTTTTACAAGATGTAATATAAGTCTCAGGTGTCTCTAGAATATGTCTGTGAAGTTTCAGCTCAAAATACCCCACCAATCATTTATTATATCATTTTGAAAATGCCTATTTTGAGAGGAAGGAGAAACACACTGTTCTCTTTCATTGGTTCACTCAACGCTGCATAGCTATAACGCAATGGGAATGCCCCTTGGGTGTGCTGATTGTCTGAAGCCCGTATGCAATTATGCCAGTTCATTGGCTGATGGCACGAGCACCACCTCGATGTCACTAAGTCACCCACTCTAATACTAGCGACTGCACCATCCGCTCCTCAGATTTCCTTGCTTCAGAAGCATTCATTTAGACCTTCAGAAGCGATTTATCTGACCCGTGTTTCGGATTATTTCTTTGAGTTTCTCTTTTGCACTTCAGCGACTGCATTCAGTAGAACCTCGTTTCTCCTCGCGGTGAAGTGCTATAGAGTTTTGTCGCTGCTAGCTGCCGTGCTCTCACTTTATTGCGAGCGACGACCCGCACAGTAAGTGTGTTAAATATATGGGTTTGTCTCACGCACACAGGGCTTTTTACGATACTTCTAACTAAATTTTGTGAGAATCTCCGTCTCAAAACTCTTCGCGCGAGGCTCATGGTTTTTGAGAAGGAGTCATCCATTTTCCCCCGTAGCACTGTCCCTCTGTCGCCCTTTCTGTACCTCTCTCGCCTGAGCGCCCTCGTGCGGATTCACTGGTGGAGTTTGTCCACGATTATTTCTGTCCCAGCCCGGAGGCACGTGAGTTTGTCAGCACCCGTGTAAGCGGATTGAGCTGAAGCGCTCAGATTAACCTACGGCTTCAGCTTTGTCAGGTCGTTCCTGATCTCTGTGTCAGGAAAAGGACAGCTTCCCCCAATTCGTGAGGGCGGGATAGACGGTCCAAAGGAGCTTTTCACTTGTGGCCGGCCCTCCACCTACTAAGAGTGCTGCGCAGTTGCTTTTGCACGGACAGCTTGTCAGAACGGACAACTTGACGGTAGTGTCTCACATAAACTGCCAGGGAGGCTCACAGTCTCGCACCCTGGACAGGCATGCGTGCCGCCTCCTTCTTTGGGCTCAGGACAGGTTTCTTTTGCTGAGAGCAGATCGCGTTCCCGGGGCTCTGAACCTTGCAGAGGACTTCCTATCTAGGCAGAAACTCAGGTCGGGGGACTAGATGCTGAACCGCCAGATGGTGGCTCAGATCTGGGATCTTTTCGGCAGGGCAGAGGTAGATCTCTTTGTATTGCAGGAATCAACCTAATGTCCCCTTTGGTTCTCCCTATGTCACCCAGCACCTCTAGGGATAGATGCTTTTGCTCATCCGTGGCCAGATCTGAGGCTGTACGCATTTCTGCTAATCAACTTGATTCTGGCAGTCTTGTGCAAAGTGAGGGAGTGCGGAGTCCACCTTCTGTTGATAGCCCCATTCTGGCCGTCCCAGACATGGTTCTCGGAGCTAGTCTCCCTTCTAGAGCACACCCCATTGGAGATTCCAATCGGGAAAGATCTGCTGTCTCAACTCCAGGGCAGGATCTGGCACCCATGGCCCAAGATTTGGAGGCTATGGGTGTGGCCAATCAAGCGCGATCGTCTGTGACCTCTGTGGACATTCAGGAAACCATTGATAATGCTAGGGCTCCTTCTACTAGGAGGCTTTATTCTTCCAAGTGGAAGGTTTTTGAGTCGTGGTGTTTGGCTCATGAAGTGGACCCAGTCAGCTGTCCGATTGGTTCAGTGCTGGAGTTTCTGAAGGAGAAGTTTGTGGCTGGAGCAACTGCTACCAACTTGAGAGTTTATGTTGCAGCTATCGCTGCTCGCAGGTATGCGGACGAAGTCCCCCTAGGTAGACATTGTTTGGTCTCTTCGTTTCTGCATGGGGTTTGGCGTTTGAGGCCGGCGTGCCCTGTCAGTGTTCCTTCCTGGGACTTGTCTATCATTCTGGAGGGCTTCTGAACGGATTCTGACCCTTAAGGTAACAATCCTGTTGGCGTTGGTTTAAATCAAACACGTAGGGGATTTGCAGGCTCTCTCTGTTAGCGAGTCATGCATGGAGTTTGCTCCGGGCCTTGTTAAGGTACTCCTACAAACCAGACCCAGTTAGGTCCCCAAGGTCTTGTCCACGTCATTTCGTTCCCAGGTGGTTGTGCTTAACTCCTTCTGTCCTCCTCCTTTTGCTTCTGTTGAGGACGAGAGGCTTCACCTGCTCTGCCCGGTTCAAGCTTTGAAGCTCTATGTGGACCACTCTAGCCAATGCTGCAAGTCCTCCCAATTGTTGGTGTGTTTTGGTGCTGGCCGCAGAGGGCTTGCCGCATCAAAACATAGGATTTCTGATTGGGTAAGGGACGCTATCTCACTTGCGTATGAGGTGTGAGGTCTCTCTTCAAGGCTAGGTATTCGAACTCATTCTACAATGAGTGTTGCTTCCTCTCAAGCTCTAGTTCCCCTAGAGGATATCTGTGTGGCGGCAGGATGGTCTTCTCCTCACACTTTTATCAGGTTTTATAGCTTGGATTTAGATGCGGCTCCTGGTTCACAGATTCTTTCTGCTTGAACCAGCCGTTTGAGGTTAGCCTGGTCTATTTTGCATTGGGTCAGATATGGCAGAGCTTAGCTTGGCGGGTGTGGTATATTGTTCCCATTGCATCATAGCTACGCAGCGTTGAGTGTACCTATGAAAGAGAATGTCTCGGGTTACTCATGTAACCCATGTTTTCTGAATAGG